TCACGCGATCGTCTGATTACTCGGCAGCAACCATTGTGTGGTCCTCCTCATTGTTCTTCATCAGCAGTTCTTTCAGTCGATGCGTCGCCGACTTTGCAAAGCAACCGTTTCGTGATGAATGTGTGAGTACTGATCACGTTTTGCGTCCATTGCTACAATGGAAGCGCTCTGACCCTCGTTGGCGAATCTGCCATACAAGTAAACCACTGGAAGCGGCTCCCGTTCTGGTAGAGGAGGCTATAGTTTTAAGGTGTATTGTATAGTGAACAAGAATCCTCGGCTCTGTAAAGTTAATTCGGTTGAGCCTTATCAAATAAATTAATAATAATAATGATTGTTCAATATTTTATAAATGTTCGAAGTATAATGAATTTGGCGGGTTCTACTTTTTGACAACAACAACAACGTTGTTGGTTTCATGCAATTTTCAAGTAACTTTACCGCAATGACAAGACACGAGATCAGACCAATACAGCTTAGGGCAATACACAATTGTTCAAACACTCACTCACGTAAATATTCTGGATGATGATGCCAGCTGTCATCAAGAGAATTTCTCTTCAGCTCACCAGTACAAATCACCTGCCCGACCAAATAGCTTTCATGACATTTGATTTATTCGCCTAAGTTGTACTGAACTAGTTCTGTTCCGTTTTTCTGTTGCTTGACCAGGAAGCTGTTTAAAATCAGCCTTCACAAAGAATGATTTGAATTTATCGAATGCCCGTGTAGAATTTTAAAATGCCGGTTCTCAAGTTTGGTAGGCAAAATTCCAAAACCCAAAAATGGCAAGAGATTTCGTAGACACACACCTTCGAAAATCAAATTGAGAAAACTACTTTTTGCTCGTTCCACCCTTTATAGTTTGAAAGAGTAAAGAAGGAATGAATTGAGACTGAAATTTCCGGATTAATTATTTAAAGCTGAACGGATTTATGGATGCTTGATCAGGTACCCATGTCCGTGATGCGGTGAATCCCATCGAGCGAAATGTATCACCAATTTGTAAATGGAATAAATGTAATTTCTTCTATTTCTAACAGCCGAGGCAACGATTAATCAGTTCGAGTTGCCTCGTTCCAGCTAAACAGAGGTAGTAATGGGAAACTGAATTCTGTCGAGTCATGGTCTATAGTACCGTTTGCACGTACTATCTATACCAGATCTTGTTTACCCTCCGGCAACTACCTCTTTGCCACTTCTCCTTCTCTGTTAATTGAAAACAAAGTCTAGAAGCTACGCACAGACAGACAGGTTGCAGGCAGTGCAGTGATATGAAGCAGCTCGTCCGCAAGTTACTCACCGCTTAGAACGAACGGCTCTGTGAGTAATGTTTGGCAATTCCAGCCAGTTCAGCTTCTTGCATTACTAGACAAGTTTCGTCGTCTAGCGACGGTACCAACACAGCGCCTTCACTCTGACGCATGAATGAATCAATAACAGTTACCTGCTGCAACTACTGACTTAGGAGGTTCCAATAAATCATCAATCAGAGTTAATGTTGTTAGGCGTGAGAACCACCCTAGCAGGTGAGTCAATTCGCTGTTTGTTTAATTTTTGCACAGCAAAATTGTTGCACGGAAAAACCAGCATATAGAAACAGCGGCAGCAACCTGTTTCGTACACGGCCGTTCAATCTTACCAAGTGACTGGGTAAATTTGTATTGCTATCTCTTTATTCTCAAAGAGATATTACCCTCTGTCTGATCCTATCCTTCGACAATGTGCAATGTAGAATTAAGTGAATTTTGTTACAAACAATGAACAATGAATTATCGGATCCGTAAAGCTGAAGCGATTGAGCCTTCCAAATAAACGAATTAGATAATACAAAAAGTAAATATTACTCTGGTTTCATAAGAAACTGGAGTAACCCCAAACTTGAGTTTTCTTGAGAAAAAAAGGGATATAATTTCAAATTTACTCAGCAACTGGGTAAGATTCAACGGCCGTGTAGCACCTTAAATGCACAACACTTGCGAAGGGTCCCTCTTTCGGGCGAGCGACTTTACATTAGCGAACAGAGACGACTCTGCACTCTGCAGTTGACCGCATGTTTTGGCAACAGGTTGAGCCCACAACGCAAGAACCTGTCTCGACGAAGGTGCCCTTACCTGATTTGCGTCGTACAGGCTCGAGCTCGCTTCGGGTGTTCATGGCAAGCGATCTTGCGTTATTTTGAGGGTTAAAGTTCAATTGTAATGCATCGAGTAACTTCCCTACACAGGCATGGACAATCATTTACATTCATTTGCCTCTAACAGAATTCCGTAAAATGATATATCTTCACCAACAATTAAAAAGGGCCTTAATGTCCTTTTCTCATAAACCAAAGGTTGCCAATGTAAACCAACAACTCCATCGGGTAGGGGACATTTTCCCTATCCCGATAGTGAACTTGGTTTGTGTAGGCAAGCTTCAGTTCATGCGGAAAGAGCATTGCACGCTTTGTTTGCAAAAGCTGATTGGCCCTTTTCAATTGTTGGTCGAGATATTAAATGTTTGTAGGTTTTGAACTTGTTATTGTTTTTGCAAAACAATGGTGGTTTCAGTTCGCTTTGGTTCATCATGCATAAAAGATACAGATTTGAGTTTTTCATAAAAGTTAATTATATAACCTACAGAAGCTTCATACATCATTTTACGGAATTTTGTTGATGAAAAAAGATAGAGGCAAATGAGTAAAGGCTGAATAAACGTAAATTGGTACGCCCCTCGCGCGCCGCTAGCACGCCTCTAGTGTTGGGACTAGAGGTTTGTTTCACTTCTATAGAGAACAACTGGTGCAAGTTTGATCAAAGTAGTCGATCGCGTTCAGAAATAACGTCAAATGGAACTCGAAAGAAGAAGAAATATTATGCACAGACACCTGGCAAATCCGGAGGGGCCCGGTTCCGAGCTGGCTAAAGTACTGAAGATGCCGAAAATAACAGTTTGTGGAGTGCTCAAAACCTACAACGAAACCCTGAGTGTGGAAAGCAATCAGCGGAAAACTGGAACCATGGATCGTCAGCTGCGCAGCAAGGTCCCGGTCTTTCGATCCGAGATGTGGCCAGAAGGTACAACGCCAACTTTCAAACGGTGCGGAACATCCTTGTCAGGGAAGGATACAAGGCGTACAAAGTCAGTAAACATCCGAACCGGCACATGAAGCAGAATTCCGTGGCCAAAAAGCCGTGTTTTGACGAAACACAAGGGCTGCACTTTGATCGATGACGAAACATACGTCAAACTCGATTTTAAGCAGCTTCCCGGTCAAAAGTTTTACCTCGCGACTGGACGTGGGGATGTGCCGGGAAGATTCAAGTTCGTGTTTGCCGACAAGTTCACGAAGAAGGCCATGATTTGGCAAGCGATTTGTGACCTGAAAACGGAACCATTCGTCACATCCTCGACGATGACATCCCATGTTTACATCGAAGAATGCCTGAAAAAGCGCGTATTGCCGTTCATTCGCAAGCATAGGAACAAAGTCATCTTTTGGCCCGATTTGGCCAGCTGCCACTACTCCAAGGTGGTTCTGGAGTGGTATGCTGCCATCAAGATCGATTTTGTTCCCAAGCTAATGAATCTTCTGAATTGCCCGAAATGTCGACCAATCGCAAAATACTGGGTAATGTTAAAGTAGCGACTTCGACGAATAAAGGGGGCAGTCAAGGACATCCAGCAAATGCGGGCAAAATGGAAGAAATGCGCTAATTCCGTGCCCGTTTCCACGGTGCGGGCGCTGATGGGCTCCATCCAGAGGAAGGTTCGAGATTTCGTTCGAACTGGAGAAATGTAACCATTTAATGCTGTAACTTTGAAGTTTTAATAAAAGTACTGTAAAGCAGCCATTAATGGACTTTTTAATCTTATTGAATCACGAATTGCAGGTTTTTGTATGTACCAATTTACTTTTAGTCAGCCTTTAAATCAATGCAAGAAATGAATGTAAATGATGTTCCATGCCTGTCTCTAGATAGGTAACTCACGTTTAAGCGTTAAATTACGTCTATTTAAAACAATGTGATAGGTTTCCACAATTCACCTCTCACCCCAGCAGGCCTGGGTTCAATCCCAGTCGGCGCCGCCGGGATGTTCTGAGGCATAACATCTCTGATCACGCCTTCCTTCGGATGGGAAGTAAAGCCGTTGGTCCCCGGTTCATGAGTTGATGGGTCGATAGGTAGGGTCCAGGTGTGGAAGCTGCCTTCCTGGCACGTCGGTAGCATTGGTGCTCAGCACGGAAAACAAGATCGACGGAAAAAACAAAACCAAAGGAAGGTTTCCACAATTTTCCCACGCTTTTTTCATTAATTTCAATTAGTTTTATCGTATTTCTTATGGAAGCAAATAACATAGGCTGTTTGTTATTTCAGTTTTGCTATCGGTAGAAGATTCTAGAGTTAGTAATCCTGACGTTATCTGTTGTAGAATTCAGATAAAAATCCGTACTGTTGTGAGGCCACATAACTGGATCTCGAATGCTGGGCTCTATTATAGTCGATTTCAGTAGAAAATCGAAAACGACAAGTTCAATGATTACCCATAAGTCAAGGGCTTCGAATATTCGATCTGCGTACCCCGCTCTCGAGAAATCCCATTCCGGAAGTGTAACACATTCTACTACTTTTAAGTACCCTAACCACGATCGAACTTCGCCGCACCTTCATGCCTACCGACCGGTCCATTAGTTGTAAATGCAGCGCGCATAAATTGTTATTAATAAGTTAATTAGACGTTTGTTCATCGGTTTCCAGCGCGCCAACCAACCTACCTATTATAGATTGGTAGGCGCCCACCGTCAGCCAGTCGGTTTGCGGTTTTGAATCGATTTATTATCTGTCGCAGTGCAATATGAGATAACTTAACGAGCAGAGTCTGTTGTCTGTTGCGAGACAGAAGAAGAAATGGAGGAATTTGTGTGGAAAATTATCGCAGGTTAGGTTTCGGAACTCAGACGTCTCCAAGTTTGAAGGTTTCCAGTCGTAGACTAAAGAACGAAGTAGAACGCTCACCTGCTGTGGTGGATTGGCCTGCCAATTCCGCTGCCAAGCGAAGTGCTCGTAGTCGTCGTTGTCGCTGAATGGTGGTTGTGGATTTGGGCAGCCGTCAAAGGGTTACTGTCGAGCCCCCGGTCAAATCCAAGACCGGAGTCGTTCGAGTTATCACAGTTGGTCGACGCTGGAGGACGTTGCTGCTGTTGTTGTTGTTGCTGGAGGCTGAACTGGGTATGTTGTTGCTGATGTTGAAGTTGTTGCTGTTGTTGAAGCCGCTGTTTCGTAGCAGTCAGTTTACTGGCCACGGACGCGAGTTTACCCGAGTGGATTCGGCCGGGAATTCGCTTTGACGGTATCCGTAATACTTTGCGGTGTAGTTTGGACGCGAGCGTCGAACTGGGACTGACGTTGTGTTTTACTGGAAAAGGAAGGGAAGAGAATGATATTGTTAAATTTCACGCTAGAAGATATTATCATATGTAGTAGGTATTAACGATAAATTTGTGTCTAATTTGACTCCAACTTCCCCATTTGGCATAAATTATTAACGTACAGGAGCACTGCCCATAAAAGCATAACAGTCCCATATGGAATTTTGTCGGAAATGAGTTATCCATTAGAATCGACTGTAACCTATCGGCATTTTACATTGGGCCCATAAAATGACGTGTTGTTGCTCTAAAAATATCGTGAAAAATTCCAAAATTAGATTGTCCCATCCATAAAAAGCATGTGGATGAATACATTTTCAACAGTGTTTTTCCCGGCTTGCTGTTGTTCCAGATGGGACTGATACGCTTTTATGGCTTTTATTGGTTGATAACCTTCTCCCAGTGGCGTCGCCTTAACCTCAATCTACCTGTCCACCAACTCTCAAAACATAAACAATTATCAAAATATTGCTTGCAATGGATAGATATCGAGTTAACTAGAAGATTAAGTGTGTTTTTCAACCGATTCGAGTATGAATATGGCATTAAATCTGTTTTTGAAAGTTGGTGCACAGGTAAAAAGTGAGGTTACGCGACGCCACTGCCTTATCCCGAACTTTACAAAATATTAACTCAATCAAGCAATTGTAAACAAATAATGAGCAAGTCACGAACGAGTTCTCATTTATGCTCTGGAAAAAAAGGCGCCAATTTGTGAGCGGTGTTGAGAGGATGTGAACAAAGACAAGATTACGAATATTTTTCAAGCAAAATAACTTGAAAATTGTATCTGATTGACTCCGCACCACTCGGATTATCGTGAAGTTCTGCGCGGGAAAAATGCGCGTCTTCAAAAGTTTTAGAAGTTATCCCCAGCAACATTTGACATTTTTGACATTTAAAAAAATCTTGTTTGGGATTTTGAGGACCATTCCCAAGTAACATTGCAAGTTTTATCAAGGGTTTAAAGCGTTCTTTAACAGCAAATCATGATCTAGAGCCGTTTGGAAAACAGTAGGTTAATTTAGCGATTGGCCGGCCATTTTTTGTGATTTAACGTTTAAACGGCAATTCGGTGTAATTCAGCGTTCTGAGGCCATATTTACGATTTTTGGGCATTTTTGCATTTGTAATTTGGCAAGTTGGTCCGGAGTCGATCATACTAATATGTCGATTTAATACTATGTATACGCTTCGATTACACTTTCAGTGCTATCCGATTATTTTTGCACATCAAAAGTCTTTTTTGGACTGATTTAGTGTTAAGCACAATTTTGTCGCTTTTATCTGTTCTTACTTGTCTGGCATTTCGTTGTTGCTATTTTGACGTTTTAGGCAGGTTTTTGGTTTCAAACTATCATGCAGTGCTTTAAAGCAATTTGCAGATTTTAAGGTTATATTGGCCCCTGCTGGGATTTTTTAGTACATCTGGGAAAACCTGCAAAAATGGGCTGGAAAATAAGCTAATCGAAAATTCGAAGCACACTAAGCTGTAGCATAACTTTCTGGCAACATGATAGTTGGGAATTTTTTGGGAAAATCCAACCCACAAAAAAACTGGATTGTTTTTCCGACATGAAGACCACTTATCATATAATTTAATCCTTCATTTCCACATCAAGCTCAGATAGGCTAGGTGATGTAGAACTTTATTTTTCATTTATGTGTTACCGAACTTATCCTTGGTAGTGTACGAACAGAAACAGTGCAATGACGTGTACTAAAACCGAATAAGAACAACAGTTGTTCGTATTTTCGATTTTCACAAACCGGACCGACGCATCGATCAGTTCCAGTCTACACAGCATGATGTGCTCCTCTCTTGGAAATATGATGACTTGGACGTAGACTTGGAAATATGTTGTTCCGAATTCTTATGTTGAACCGGCCTTCCCCAATACTGCGCCTTGAAGGATGTTTCTTATGGCCATTTCTGAGATCCGAAAATATTTTTCCGGGTTTCCGAGAACGCCAAGTAACCAACTCCAGTACCTACATGTGGTTTTTCGAAATACCAAGTGATCATCTTCATTGATATTTATGTTCAACTGCCGGTGATTTCAGTGAGAGAAAATTAACCGTGTGGGTTCAGCATTTTTAAAAGAGAACCAGCCTTCCCTGATAGTGCGCCTTGAATAATAGGTCCTAAGGTCATTCAGGAGATCCTGAAATATTTTTCCGAGTTCAATGATGATTGAGTTCCCACACCGCTGTTTTCAGTAAGAGGAAAGTATCCTAAATGTGGGTTCAACTTTTTCATGGAAAACCGACCTTCTCCGATACTGAACCATGAAATAGTTCCTATGGCCATTCCTGAGATGCGGAAATATTTTCACAAGTTTCTTGAAATGCTAAGGGACCAACTTCTTTGATATTTGACTTAAAATACCGGTGATTTTAGTAAGAGGAGATTTACCTAAATGTGGTGATCTATATTTGTATGGAGAATAGGTCTTCCCCTATACTGAACCTTGAAGAAAAGTTCCTATGACCTGCCCTGGGATCCGCAAATATTTTTCCAAGATTCTTGAAATAGCACCAATTGCAATGATATATAAGATTAAATGCCAGCTATTTCTACACAGGGTAATCAACTTAGTAGTGACCATTATTTACCCGATAGTGCAACTTGAAGTTATATTTTCTGTGGCCATTCCTGAGTGCTGAATTTTTTTTCAAGTTTATTGAAATCCCAAGGGACCAAGTTCAATGACACTTGAAATCAAATACCACTGATTTCAGTGAGAGGAAGTTAATCCCAATGTGGGTTCTGCATTTTCATAGTGAATAGGTCTTCCCCGATACTGTACTTTGAAGGATAGTTCCTATGACTATTCTGGAGATTCGGAAATATTTTTCAGAGTTTTTTTTTTTAAATGTTAAGGGACTAACATCAATGCTAACTATATGAGTTCAAATACTGGTGTGTTCCGTAAGATAAAATAAACCTAAATGTGGGTTCTGCATTTTCATGGAATGCCGGCATTCCCCGATACTGCACCTTGACGAATAGTTCCTGGGATTCAGATATATTTATTGAGTTTCTTGAAACACCAAGAGACCAACTGCAATGATATTTGAGCTCAAATACCACTATTTGCAATCACAGAAGATCACCCTAAATTTGGGTGCAGCATTTTCTTGTAGGCCTCCCTTAGCTCAGTCGATAAAGGCGCAGCTACAAAGCAAGACCATGCCTGGACGTCACTTGGTTCGATTCTTGGTCCGGTCTAGGTTTTTTTTTTGGTTTGGAAATATATCGAGTACCCTGAGCATAGAGTATGATTGTACTTGCTACTCAATTATTCAATGATACAATGATTCAGTCATCGAAAGCTCTCAAGCTGGAAGTGCATATAGAAAACTAAGTTGAGAGCACGCAATAAGCCGAATATTTCCGGCTCTCAGTTCTAAATGTACTTCCACAGTTATTAATTGAAAGCTTTCTATGCGAATAAATGCATGCATTTGTATATTCTATGCCCAGGGAAGTCGAGACAATTTCCTATCCGAATGATTCCCTCGACTAGACCGGGAATCAATCCTACCGCCATCGAATAAATAATACAGTGCATTTACCGACTAGGCTGTCTGAGGCCCCAGGTGAACCAAATTATGTCCCGGAAGGTCTATGGGACCATGGACTTCCAATATGGTCACCACTGTTGGTCACTTAGCATTTCAAGGAACTTGAAAAATATTTCCGGATCCCAGGAATGGCCATTTTCCGTCAAAGGAAGGTTGCATCTCCATAAAAATTCTTATGGCCACATTTTGTACTGAAATTACTGGTATTTGATCTCATATATCATTGAAATTGCTCAAAGAATACAATAGGTTATCTTTCATTTCATATACGAATTCTATAATTAGCTAAATTCCCGTTTACTGGAAATAACCGGTATTTCGATTATATAGCATATCTTTAAAGTTTATCCCCTGGAATTTTAAAAACTTGGGAAAATATTAGCGGATCTCATGGATGGCCACAGGAAGCTTTCTTCAAAGTACAGTATCAGAGAAGGTCGATGTTCCGTGAAAAAGATAATTGCCTACATGCAGGTGAATTCCCTTCTACTGCAATAACCGGGATTTGAATTTAGACATTTCAATAAATTCGAAAAAGGATTTCTCGATCCCAGAAACTATCTTCAAGGTACACTTGTTATGATAGCTTGAACAATGCGTTAAGAGCAAATCGAAACATTGAACGTTGCGTGAAAGTGGAACTCAATGAAGGCCTTTTAGTTTTCGGATTTGAAAGATCGTCCGTTGCACTGGCTTGCTTACTGAGCAGAAAAATGCGGTCCCAAGTCCTTTTATATTCAGATTCGTAACTTGTTGTCGTCGTCGTCGTCGGTGCCGGGTTTGAACGGTTACAACAACTCGAGTAATGGTATGAGCGGCTCGGTGGCCTTAGAGCAACCGTTTTTGCTTACTGAGTCTAATCTCATCCACATTTAAGATTTGTCAATCGCTTTATTTGTAAAGGAACTCGTGTCAAACGTTTTTTCTTACTGAGCAGAAGACCGTGGATTCAATCCAAAGCTCCTTCGCGTTGTATGATCGTTAGGACATCAATTCAACTTATCGATTACCAAAACGCACCCGGCTGCAAACCTAACCCTCTTCCCAGCATCCCAGTGATTCCTCGTGGATTTCTCGGCTTCCATCAAAACGAGTGTCACTTCAACCCATTCCTACCCATTCCTTTCTTGCCTGCATTTGGGCGCGGCCGACGCTGGTATTGCCTAGTTTGAGATCACCAGTTTTTACACATTGAGGATTGATTGCCATTCCCAAGCATCGTCTATTGGGTCTGTGTGTAATTACAGCTGATTTGCAAATAACAGAGTAGCAACCGTGGCGGTCAATCATGCTCATGCTTATGCTCATATGAATTAACCCAGGATCATTCAAATTCAACCAACAGCATTTGCTCCTTTTTGAGGTATCAACATCTGCAAAAGGGCAAATTTTTCAACAAAAATCATTTATAACTTTCGAACAGAAGAGATAGCACCTTAGTCTTTTGAAATTTATGTTAGAACTCCTGTTCTTGTTCTTGTCAGTGGCTTTGGTACTCTTCTCAGTATTTATTTGGAGCTGTGGAGATTTGGATATTTTTTTGGAATTATACTCTGAATTTCCTTTTTCCTTAAGCTACACCTATCAATTGCTCCTCAAGTATTTTCCTGAAGCGTTCCTCTCAAAGCCTATCAATTTCTTTTCAGAATTACTTTCTTATCTCCTCTGAATTCGTTAAGAATACTTTCCTTCGGAATAACCTTTAGATTATTCAAATTCTCATCGAAATTCCATTTTAATTAAATTCATCCATGTCAAGACGGATTCCAATTTTTTTTCAAGCTCAAGGTTTCTAAAATAATGTCTTCCTGCAATCTTTCACTTTCCAAAATTTAACCGGCACATAGCAGCCTTCGAACAATTTTTCATGATAATGTAGCTCGGAAAACTTCTGAAGTCTTAATAAGGCCTTGGAAATCTTTCGAGATATCCAACTTCAAAATATTAACTTAATTTTAGAGCTCATAAAATCTGTTACAGTTTAATAGAAACAATGTTTTTATTGATTCGTGAT